GAATTCTGTCTTAGAGGATATCCACAGCTTGTTCCTCTTTGTGCTTGAGTCCATAACTACCTTGATTTCTGAGATATAAATTTTGTACTGACATTCCTATTTGTTCTGTTTAAAATGGATCATTCTTATATGAACCTATTTTTTAAAAATAGACATTTTATGTGATTGGGCTAAAAGGACACTATATGCATTCTCTACCCTTAGCAAAGCAGGAATCTTTCAAAAATACATTGCTTTTCAGTGTGGAATTTCCTCAAAAAGCTGAAAATGGAACTGCCTTTTGATCCAGTGATTCCCCTGCTGGGACTATACCCTAAGAATCCCAAAATGCCGATTCAAAAGAACCTATGCACCCCAATGTTCATAGCACAATTTGCAATAGCCAAGTGTTGAAAGCAACCTAAATACCCATCAGTAGATGATTGGATCAAAAAACTATGGTACATTTACACAATGGAATACTACGCAGCAGAAAGAAAAAAAGAACTACTAAACTTCGCGGTAGCATGGATGGAACTAGAGAGCATTATGCTAAGCGAAATAAGCCAGGGGGCGAAAGACAAATACCATATGATCTCACCTATAAGCGGAACCTAACCAACAATACAAAGCTGCAAGGAAAATAAGACCAGCAACACTGACAGGAAAAGAAACAAACAGAGACAAGAGGGATGGAGGGAGGAGGGGACGGGGGAAAAGGAAGGGAATGGGAGGGTTGGGGAACATGTAGCAAGGTCTCATGGACAAAACCAAAGGGGAAGGATTGAGGGAGGGAGGGGGGAAAGGGGGCAGGGGAAGGTGGTGGGGGGAAGGCAGAGACAAATGTATTTGAAAAAATAAAGAAAATAAATGAAAAAAATAAAGTGGCAAATTTAAAATTAAAAAAATACATTGCTTTTTTTCTCTCTTTGGGCAGAAATTTTTATTTTGTTTTCTACATGTTGAGTGAATTGCCAAAGGATGGATTAAAATAGTTATATCGAGCCTTGACCAGTGTGGCTCAGTTGGTTGGCATACACCAAAAGGCTGTGGGTGTGATTCCTAGTCAGGGCATATATGTAGGTTGTTGCAGGTTTGAACCACGGTCCCAGAATCTATGAGAAGGAACCAGTCAATGTTTCTCTCACACTGATGCTTCCCTCTCTTTTTCTCCCCTTACCCCTCTTTCTAAAAGGAGTGAAAAAAAGTCCTCTGTGAGGATAAAAAATAAAATAAGGAAAAATAAAATAAAATAAAAAAATAAAGAAATGAAATGAAATAAAATGTAAACTAAAATAGTGCCTAATATTTTAACAAACACAGTGCTGGGCAGTCAGTGACTATGGAAAGTCACGCATGGTGAATGACTTGTCCTGGCAAGTGGCCCAGGCCCTTAAACTGGGATCTTCTGAGTCCATCCTGTGCTCCATCCAGCCTGAAAACCACAGAGGTAGTGGGGCAGTTTCTTTCTAAGGTGGCAACTTGCCATGAGGGCATGGAGTTGGGCAAAGTCATATGCTTCCTTCTACTCTTTGAGAGCCACACTAGCATTCTTCAGGGGATTAAAAGGGAAACCTTGGAAACTGATATGCTTCAGATTTCCAAATAGGATCATTTCAGTTTGGCAAGTACTTATTTAGTCCAGGATGAGTTTTGGGTGGGAAATAAAAATGAATGAGTGATGGTTTTGTTGTATCCTGGAAAAGCTTCAGGATTCATCCTTCATTCCCTCTCTGCCCCTTCTCCTACTCACCAATAAAAAATAGCTGCTTCTTTTTAAACTTAAAAAGAACATTTTGTTTAAAAATAATTGTGTACAAGCACCAGCCTGCGAACCAAAGGGTTGCAGGTTCGATTCCCAGTCAGGGCACATGCCTAGGTTGTGGGTCAGGTCCCCAATAGGGGATGCATGAAAGGCAACTACACATTGATGTTGCTCTCCCTGTCTTCCTCCCTCCCTTCCCCTCTCTGTGAAAATAAATAAAATAAAATATACTTTTCAAAAAATTGTAAAAATTTGGACTATTCAGACTTTTATAAGGAAAATGTACAAATCACTAAAAATCTTACTGTTACCATTTTAAGAAACATTATGATATACCTATACACACACCACATGTTTTACCTTAAATCATACTATACTACATATGCTACTTTGAGTCTGCCCTTTTTTTTTTTCATTTAACAGTATGTCAGGGATACCTTTTCCTATAAATAAAAATCCTTATCATCATTTTAATTGTTGGGGAATATTCCCTTACCTACACATACCATTCATGAATTCTCTATGATTAACCTTTGGGCTGATTTTAAATATTGCTCCCATGTGGAACAGAGATTAGTGTCTTTGTGTGTGTGGAGATCACTCCAGTATATGTTCACATAAGTGGGATTGCTGGTTCAAACAGTATACATATTTAAACTTTTGATATATATTACTGATAGTGGCTTTGAAACAAGGTCCTTTTTCAAAGTAAAAATTATACATATTTCAGGTATACAACATGATTTGATGTACATATATATAAAATGAAATGATTACTACAGTCAATGTAATTAACATATCTTACCTTTTTTAGTGATAACAACACGTAAAATCTATTTTCTAGGCAAATTTCTAGATTTAACACAGTATTATTAGCCATAGTCATCATACCGTACATTTCATCTCTAGAACTTATTCATCTCACATAACTGCAACTTTGTCCCTTTTGATGATCATCTATCCTCCCAGCCCCCTAAACTCCTCATAACCACTATTCTACTCTCTATCCATATATTTGATTTTTTTAGATTCCATATATAAATGAGATCATGAAGTTTTTTTCTTTCTGTATCTGGCTTATTTCGCTTAGCATGACATCCTCCATGGTCATCCATGTTGTTGCAAATGTCAGGCACCCCTTCTTTTATAAGGCTGGATAATATTCCATTGTGTGTGTGTGTACACACCCACACATACACACACAGACACACACACGGTCTGTTCAGAAGATATCCAGCCATGTAATATGAAAAACAGAAACGTGTATTGAAGATGATACAAGATATGAGAAACACTGTACATAGGACAGTGATGCCTCAGTCTCTTTCAAAGTAGGCACAGTTCTCCCAATTGCCATCAGTTACTCTGTCATATTTTCCTGAATCTCATCAACGGTCTAAAATCTCTTCCATTTCAAAGGTGATTTTAGTTTTGGGAAAAGGCAGAAGTCGCAGGGCGCCAAATCTGGGCTGTAGAGGGGCTTGGTCACCTGGGTGATTTGCTGTTTCGCCAAAAAACTGCATGAGATGTGATGCATGGGTGGGTACGTTGTAGTGATGAAGCTGCCAATCACCAGTTGCCCATAGTTGCAGCCTTCTGAACCATCTGAATAGTTTCTGCAGAGGAATGTTCAAGCTTAACACAAAATTTGATGCAGATTTGTTGCTTTACTCACACAGTCATTTTCACGGCCACACAGTACACGCGCTCACTCAGTGGTGACTAGCAACCCCACTGACTAGTACAGTGAAGTTGTTATTGTTGATGCATGCACATTCCCGCCCATGCAACTTGGCTGCCTGGTTACATTGTTGTCGTGAGAACCGTTCTTGTTATATTAATGATGGCTGGACATTTTCTGGACAAACCTCTGTGTGTGTGTGTGTGTGTGTGTGTGTGTGTGTGTGTGAGAGAGAGAGAGAGAGAGAGAGAGAGAGAGAGAGAGAGAGACATTTTAAAAAATCAGTTCATTCATCAATGAATGCTTAGGTTGTTTCCACGTCTTGTCCATTGGGAATAATACAGCAACAAATATGGGAGTGCAGCTGTCTCTTTGTGGTACTGATTTCATTTCTCTTGAGTACAAAGGGGAATTGCAGGATCATATCTTGTATTTGTAGCTTTTTTTTTAAAGAACCTCCATACTGTTTTCTGCAATGGCTGTACAAATTTGCATTTCCACCAACAGTGTACAAGAGTCCCTTTTGTCCACATCCTAACACTTGTTACATTTTTTTTTTAAATAACAGCCATCCTAATAGATGTGAGGTGATTACTCATTGTGGTTGATATGCATTTCCCTGATGATCAATAATGTTGAGCATCTTTTATAAGAAGGTCTTAAAATACCTTCCCTTGTAGCTAATGAGAGTGCCTCCCTTCCCAAATACTGACTGGATAGGGTACATTTTTTAAATATTTAATAAATTAATAAATGTGTCATTACTGCTTTTATTTTATTTTAGTTTTGTTATAATTGAACATGTTTAAAAATATTCATTGGCAATTTGTATCTTTTCCTCTGTGATTTATCTACATGAATATCCTTTGTCCATTTTTCTGTTGAGCTGAATTATCTTTTTCTTACTGACTTTCAAAAATCCTCCACAATATATTCTTCAAATATATTCAAATATATTCAAAGAAACATTTTTCAAAATAAATGTAAAATCTGTATGTGTCCTCAGACTAATTATCCTGTTTAGGGATAAATGATGCTATGACCAGTGGGACTTGCTTTGTCCACATTCTGGAGTGAAGCTCATTGCTCTCATGGTTTGTCACGCCATACAGGGATGCAGCCATCCAGACCTGAGGACAGTGGCCGAGGTGCCCTTGCTGCAATGTTCCTCATTAATGGCTCAGTGAGGGAGGATCTTGTGATCTCTGCCAGCCTCCTCTTTTCTTCCCCTTGGCAAACATCTTTTACTTACTCCTGTCTAATTCTAATAAGATTGCCCTGGGTCAACCATATTAAATAAGTGATGAGCTGTAGAGAAAAGACAATTCATAGGATATTAACATTTAAAGTAAAATTTATTTTCAGCCTTTGCCCGACAGTGAATTTCATGGTCTATAAACCATAAGTGTATGTGTAGTCAAGGAGAAAAATTTATATCTAATATGAACCCTGGGAAAATTCTAGGGGGAATTCAGGGATCTTATAGGGATGATGTAAGATAAAGTGTTATATTTAATTTGGGATTACGTAAAATGTTTTCACTTTGGCCTAAAACTATTCATTGTTCCTAAACAGTTTCATTCATTGGCTCCCATGTACTACCGTGGATCTGCTGCAGCTGTCATAGTGTATGATATTACCAAACAGGTAAGAATGTTCCTTTTAGAATTTAGATGCCATTTATGGTAATTCTGTCTTAGAAAGACCAAAGCAGAGATTTCACTGCTTGAATCTTGACAGTAGGCTGGAATGAGGTTTCATAATGTGGTGGGGGATACTGGGCAATATATATTGAGTTTATTTAACCTACATGTAAGGAAGCATTTCAGGTTTATCTGCTGAATTAAATAAAAAAAAAAACAATAAAAATTCACTTTAAACTTGACTGACTGTGTGTAGAGGCAAGGTCATGCTTCCTAATACTGTTCTCCAGAATGTCAGCTTTGTAGGAAAAGGAAAATTATTTTTAAGTTCTGAATGCCTTATGATTATAAAATACTTATCTTTTATTAGTGTTTCAATCACACTTCATAAAATGTCAAAGAAAACATTTATGTATGACTAGTGTGTTTGTGTACATATAATATAAATATATTTTGAGAGATCACCTAGGATATCAACAAATGACTGCAGTGGTTTGCTGATATTTTTTTCCTGCTGCTTGGGTGCTGACTCAGTTCACAGGACTGCTAGTTTAATGACTCATCACAGTTTCCGTCCATGAGTTCCTGACCACTTTTACCTAAATGTGGTGTCTGTTATATCTTGGCTTGCTTCCTAGAAAAAGATTGTGAGTAAAGGACAGAAAGGAAAAGACTCTAAAGTATGTGTGTGTATTTTCCTTTTCTTTTTCCTTAGGTAAGCATGAACATTGTCTTAGTCTTATGACTTAGTCCTTTGTCATGTTAAATCAAGGCTGTCTTTTAAAAAAAATTTATTGTTTCTTTTATTTTAAAGGAACTATTATTAATTTTTTAATTAAACTTATTCAGGGACATCGGTAATAAAATTATACAGGTTTCAAGTGTACAATTCTATGATACATCATCTGTCTATTGCATTGTGTGTTTACCACTCAAAGTAAAATCTTCTCCCGTCACCACATTTTGGCCTCCTTTTCCCTTTACTACCTCCTCGCCTCCCTTCTCTCTGGTAACCACCACACTGTTGTCCATGTCTGTGAGGGTTTTTGTTGTTGTTATTGTTGTTGGTTTTTTGTTTGCTTTCAGTTTTATTTTTTACCTGTATTTTTTACAGAAACATATTTTTATTACATTTATTGGGGTGACATTGGTTTCAAGTGTACATTTCTATGATGCATGATCTGTATAAGGCTATAATTTTAAATTAATGTTATTTATAGGAGAAAATTATTAATATGATTTTCTTAACTTTATCAAGTTTCAGTTTTAGGGAAGAGAACATTTTGTAGGCTATTTAAGTATAATTCAGCAATCCAGAGAGAAAGCAAGAACTTCTGGCCAAGATGTAGGCATAAGTAGATACACTTGGACTCTGCACAACCAGAGGAAGGACAACAACAAATTTAAAAACAAAAAATAACCAACCTGCTAGAAAATCAAACTCTTTGGAAGTCCAACAACCAAGTAACTAAAGAAGAAACATTCCTCCAGATCAGTAGGAGGGCCGGAGACAGGCAGCCAGGGTAGGGAGGATGTATGGCAACGTGGTGGCTGGAGGACTGGGTGGGTGAGGCAGTGGCTGGTGATCCGGGTGGTCTCATATTTGCATGTGCATAAACTGGAGGAACAGCAGGGGAGCGAGAGAGCCCTTGCAACCCAGGGCTCTGGTGCGGGAAAAGAAAGCCTCAAAACCTCTCGAGGTAAAATTCTGTGGGGGTTCTGGCAGCAGGAGAAACTCCCAGCCTCACAGGAGAGTCCTTTGGAGGGACCCACAGGGTCCTAGAACATACACAAACCCACCCCCCTGGGAATCTGCACCAGAAGGCCCCAATTTGCTTGTGGGTAGCAGGGGAACTGACTGAAAGCCTACAGAGAGCCAAGCAAGAGGCATTGTTTCCTCTCTTACCTCTCCCCCACAGAGAGTGTCACAACACAGCCACCTGGGTTGCCCCGCCCTGGCGAATACCTAAGGCTCCTCCCCTTCCAGCATACCAGGCACGCTGAGACAAAGAAATATGGCCCAAATGAAAGAACAGATCAAAGTTCCAAAAATAGAACTAAGCAATGAACAGATAGCCAACCTATCAGAGGCACAGTTCAAAACACTGGTAGTCTGGATGCTCACTGAATTGGTTGAGTATGGTCACAATTGGAGGAAAAAGTGTAGGCAAAGTGAAATAAAGAAAAATACACAGCGAAACAACAATAAAGGGAAGGAAACTGGGACTCAAGTCAACAATTGGGAGCAGAAAGAAGAGAAAAACATTCAACCAGAACAGAATGAAGAAACAAGAATTCAAAAAAATGAGGAGAGGCTTAGGAACCTCTGGGACACTTTAAACATTCCAACATCTGAATCACAGGGGTGCCAGAAGGAGAAAAGGAAGAGCAAGGAATTGAAAACTTATTTGAAAAAATAATGAAGGGGAACATCCCCAATCTGATGAAAGAAATAGGCTTCCAGGAGATCCAGGAAGCCCGGAGAATCCCAAATAAGTTGGACCCAAGGAAGCACACACCAAGGCGCATTATAATTCTATTACCCGAGATTAAAGATGAGAGAATTTTAAAAGCAGAAAGAGAAAAGGAGACAGCCACTTACAAAGGAGTTCCCATAAGATGCTCAGCTGATTTCTCAAAAGAAACCTTGCAGGCCAGGAGTGGCTGGCAAGAAGTGTTCAAAGTCAAGAAGGGGAAGGACCTACATCCAAGATTACTCTGTCCAGCAAAGCTATCATTTAGAATGGAATAGCAGATGAAGTGCTTCCCAGAAAAGGTAAAGGAGTTCATCATCACCAAGCCCTTATTATATGAAATGTTAAAGGGACTTATCTAAGAAAAAGAGAGAATCAAGATGGCAGAGGAATGATTGGAAGTCACACTGACCTCCTACTAGGACCAATTAGGAATTACAGCTAAATTGTGGAGAAACCACTTGGAACAAACAACTGAACAATAGCGAGAGAGGAGCCTTGTAACCTCAGAGACAGAAGAATTGGCTTTAGCTCAATCTAACTGGTAAGGAGTGCAGAAGAGACTCGAGAACGCGGGCAGAGTGCCCAGGGGCAGCAGCACCAGAAGGATATTGAAATGGCCAATTGGATCCCCCTGAGAAGAGTGGGGTCTAAACTGAAAGCAGGGTTCTCCAGCCTACAGCACCAGAGCCCAAAAAGTACTGAGAAAACAGCCAGCTGCAAAAAGCGGCAGGGTTGCTCTCTCCCAGAGACAGGCAGCTGGAGATGTAAAGAACTGCTTAAAGGGCCAACACATGAATTTTTATTTGCAGTCACTTAACCTGGTCTCATACAAAGGCAGGGGCAGAGTAGGCTAGAGATGCCTGAGGAGAGACCGGGGAAGGAGGCTTTGGGGAGAGAACTGAGAGAGTAGCCAGCGGGATCTCGGTACTGACTCATCCCCCATGTGGCAGCAGCCATCTTGCTCAGGCAGAGACCACTCCCCCTGAGGGGCAGTAGCATCAGAGAACCCAATAACCCTGCCCCTAGGTGGGATTCCACCCCACCCTGTGCTATATAAGCTGTCTACTGAGTGCAGAATGGCAGCCACAGATAATAGATCCCTGGCTAAAGGGGGTGCAGAGGGGTCTGTAGACACTTGAGGAGAGAGTGGGGACGGAGGCTGTGGGGAGACAACTGATAGAGTAGCTGGCGGGATCCCAGTGCTGACTCCTGCCCCATACAGCAGCAGCATGAGAGGACCCAATAACCCAGTCCCTAGGAGGGACTCTGCTCCGCCCTGAGCTGTCTAGGGTGGCCTGCTGAGGGCAGAGTGACTAGATTAAGAGCTGAAGGAGACATCCACAGACGGTAGATTATTGGAAGTCTTGAACAGACTGCCTAAGGTCAGACAGGGACACCTGACATCATCAGAGGCAGATCTAGAAAGTAAAAACAGTGGTCTCCTACCATCGAAGTCACAACACAAAGCCACAAAGTCAGGAAGTCAAGACAGATCAACTTAAGAAGCAAAAGCAAAAAAAAAGAAGAGTCTCACAAATAATGGGAAGACAAAGAAATACCCCCCAATTGAAGGGGAAGGAGGAATTTCCAGAAAGAGAACTAAATGGAATAGAGGCAAGTAAACTATCAGCTATTGAGTTCAAAACAACAGTTCTAAGGAAACTCAATGAGCTCAGTGAGCTCAGAGAGAATTACAAAAAACTACAGAGAAACTATGAAGAACTTACTGCAACCTATATATCAGCATGAAAAAAGGACATAGAAACTATCAATAAGAGACAAGAGGAAATGAAGAATACAATTTCTGAGTTGAAGAACACAGAAGAAGGAATGAAAAGCAGGCTCGAAGAAGCCGAGGATTGAATCAGCGAGCTGGAGGACAAGGTAGAAGAAAGCTCCCAGAAAGAGCAAGAAAATGAAAAAAGACTCAAAAAGAATGAAGAGGCGTTTAGGGAAATGCAGGACAACCTGAAATGTAATAATATCCGTATAGTAGTGATACCAGAAGGAGAAGAGGATGAGGAGGGGATAGAGAACCTGTTTGAAAGAGTAATGTTGGAAAACTTTAATTTGAGGAGAGAAAAAGTGACACAAGTCCAGGAAGCACAGAGGGTCCCATTCAAGAGGAACCCAGTGAGGCCCACTCCAAGGCACATCATCATTAAAATAGCAAATATTAAAGATAAACAGAGGCAGCAAGGGAGAAACAGGTAGTAACGTATAAGGAAGCCCTGATATGACTAGCAGCTGACTTCTCAACAGAAACACTACAAGGCAGAAGGGAATGGCAAGAAATATTCCAAGTCATGAAAACCAAAGGCCTGCAACGAAGACTGCTCTACCCAAAAAGGCTCTCAATTAAAATGGAAGGTGAAATAAGGAGTTTCCCAAACAAAAGAAGGCTAAAAGAATACACCTCCACCAAACCAGCACTGCAAAATATGCTAATAAGGGACTGCTTTAAGATGAAGAAAAAGAGCTATGAATACCCAGTTCCTTTCACAGTTACCAATACTTAATATTACCAATATTTTAAAATAATCTGATTTTGACAATGATGTATTTTAATTGTTCCTTTATTATTTGTTGAAACTAAACCTGTTTCTGTGTATTTCTTACCTATTTCTATTATTTTTAAAAAGTTTTAAATGACTTTTTGGTATTCTTTATCCATTTTTTGATTAAATGTTTGTAGAATGTTTTCCCTAAAAAAAGAAACAACAAACCATTAACCCTTTTTTAGATGTTCTGCAAATACTTTCCTATTCTATTACTTGCCCTTTAACTTTTTTTATATGTATATTACTGTACAGTCTTAAATGTTTAATACAGTCATATTGTTAATATTTTACTTTATAGCTTCTGGGTTTGAATATTTTACTTCAGGGTAAGAAAAATATTAGTTTGTATTTTCTCCTAAAACTCCCTAGATTCTACATATTGATTTTTAACTCACCTGCATATTTCTTGTATAATGTGTGAAATAGGGCTCTATATTTATTTCAAGTAATAGTGGTCCATGCACCTTATATGTTGAATAAGCCTTATTGTCCCCATTGATTTGAAATATCAACTTAATCATATATTTCATTGTTAGATTATATATGTTTGTTCTAGAATGCTCATTATATTTCATTGATCTACTTGATTATTTCTGTGCCGGTGTCATGTTGGTTTAATTGCTGAAACTTTATAATGGTTTCAAATTGTTTAATATTTTATAATTAACTTTGACATTTAAAAAAGTAAATAAAATCAATCTGCATTAAAGAAAGAAAGAGAAAGGAAGAAAGAGGGAGGGAGGGATGGAGGGAGGGAGAGAGAGAGATGGATCTCCTACCTTTTGCGACAACATGGTTGGAACTGGAGAATATTATGCTAAGTGAAATAAGCCAGTTGATGAGAGATAAATACCATATGATCTCACCTATAAGTGGCCTCTATTCAACAAAATAAACTAACGAACAAAATAAACCACAGCCATGGAAACATGGAGCAGACTGAAAGTGACCGGAGGGGATGGGGAAAGAGGACAATGGTGGAAAGAAGGGGAAGGGACTAGACTAAGAGCATGTATGAATGACCCATGGACATGGACAACAGAGTGGGAATTGACTGTGGGAGTGGGGGGTTGGGGTGAGGTGGGTGGAGGAGGATAAAGGAGGAAAAATTGAAACAACTGTAATAGGATAAACATAACTTATAAATTAAAAAAAAGAAGATCAAAAACTATGAACAGTAAAACAGAAGGTGGGGGCAATTAACACTGGGGAAAAAGGTGCGGGGAATAAGCTGCATAAATAGTAGGTACAAAATAGACAGCAGGAGGTTAAGAATAGTATAGGAAAAAGAAGTCAAAGAACTTATATGTACAACCCATGGACATGAACTAAAGGGTGGGGGAGTGGAGGGGGGTGAGGCAGTGCAGGGTGGAGGGGAATAAAGGAGGGGAAAAATGGGACAATTCTAATAGCATAATCAATGAAATATATATTTTAAAAAGTATAATTTAGCTAATGTTAAAATTTGTGCCAAGATAAGGTATGTATATTAATCTACACGAGCCTCCTGAATATATTTTTCTCCATTAAATTGTGTTGTGTTTGTATTTCTATTTGGTTGAAATATATAGAATTATGTATTAAATACACAGGATTATGTGCATAGTGTTATGTTATGAACACATAACTTTATTATGTTGATGGGTTTATACAATTCTTGATTTATACTTTGGTTTAGGACTCATTCCATACCTTGAAGAAATGGGTGAAGGAACTGAAAGAACATGGTCCAGAAAACATTGTAATGGCTATCGCTGGAAACAAATGTGATCTCTCAGATATTAGGTAAGATTCTTTTAAAATTTTTTTGTGTGGTTAATATCCTTTATCTCTGAATGTCTATGTGTAAAAAGCTGTCGTGCCTGTGTTGTTCTTAGTGTAATAATTTCATTAATAGTCATTCACTTGTGGTGGTCAAGGTATTATATATTCAACCACAGTAGAATTAAGGGAAAATAGTAGGAAAATGCAAATTTGATGGACCACATGGTAATGAATATTAAAATCACATTTCCTATAAACAGCACAGTTATATCCCTTACTTTTAATGTCTTTGGGCTATGTGGTTTTATTTTTTTATTGTTACCTTTTCTGTTATTATTGTCATTATTACTACCTCACCATTTTAGTAACACTTTAATATGGTAAGGAGATTTAGGTGCTTAATATTTTCCATACACCCCTGTTTATTTTATTTCTTGACTTAAGGTTGTAGTCAAGTCTATATAATCTAACTGTTTTGTTCTAAGATCTGAATATGACGCATTGTATGCAAACACTTTGCCTTGTTCCAGAAACACTGGATTGTTGAATTCCTTTACCTGGAGAGATATTTGTAGAGAGGCAGTCCACATGGGTTAGAGATTTGATGATAACTCTATCTAGCCTGATAAGCTACCTATTGTAAATCAACAAAAATGTTATAAAAGAAAATAGAGAATTTGTGTTGTCACTATTCCCCTGGTTAATTTAATTCTCAGCAATTCTAGTAGTTGATTTTCACAAAGACAATGACATTGTGCTTCAGATTTTGCTAATCCAAATATGTTTAAACCAAAGTTAAATAACAATGAAAAGAGATCTTGCAAAAGCTCTTAACATGGCCTTTGAGAAATTGCTTTTTTTTTGGGGGGGGGTGTTTCAAAAGCTTTGTATCATATTGCATCATGTTGGCTTATAGTAAACAGCCATCGACACCTCTTAATTATTTGTTTTTGTGGAGGCTGGACAAATCTTGAAACTTCCAAGACTTAGTTCAAATGCCTACCTTCTTTACTATAATTCTTAAACAGTTTACTCGTCTAGTATTCCCAGCAGAATTGCCAGCGTGGGCAGGTAGAGATGGCCATTGCTGAAAGAAGGTGCTGTCATCTGACACCATTGAATTATGGTAAAAGATGTGACTTTCAGTTGGCTAAGCCTTGTGTATTGTGGCAGAGCTGATGGGCTAGAATCTAAACAGAAAATTATTTAAACTTGAATGGAATTAATAGGACTCCTGGTTATGTGGAACTAAAACAGATTTGAAATGAATTTCAAGGAATAAAAAGGAATATATTGGAAAGTACTGGTATCCACATGGTAAAAAACAGGCTGCCTTTGGCCCTGGTATGTCATATGTTCCAACTTTAGTCTCTGGCATTGTTTCTCGTCTTATTGCCATGGAAGGATTTCCCACGTCATGATAAGGCATTTGTTGCCATGGGAGGGGATTTGGGTAGTGCAAAGTTATTTGCCTACCATAACCATGAGAAAGGGAGGGTGGCTAGTTTGAAAAATGTAAAGTACAGCCTGGACAGACAAAACATGTTTTGTGACTTGTTGCCTTGGCTACTGGCACCTGAAGACACTATTTCTGAGTGAAATTCTCCTTCTATGCACTGGGTTCTCAGCAGGCATTCTCCTTTGTGCTAGCCAATTCTTATATATACAGTTTTCATAATGCATATTTCATCCATCTCACTTCCAACCATAAATTCACTCACATCTCTTCCATCCCCAATGGGAGACGATTCAAGACCACATCCAGCTGCTACACCTAGTTGTGAGATCGTAGGGCCACTGTCATATCATACGAATCGTGATTTTCTGGGTGAGTCCCTTTCTCCTTTAATTTAGCCTCAGTAAGGTCTGAATGTGGCTTCTCAGAATCCTGCAGTAGTAGTTTAAAGTGTGAAACACAGCCCTGATTGGTGCGGCTCAGTGGGTTGAGTGCCAGACTGCAAACCAAAGAGTCGCCAGTTTGATTTCCAGCCAGGGCACATGCTTGGGTTGGAGGCCAGGTCCCCAGCAGGGGGCCTGTGAGAGGCAACCACCATTGATGTTTCTCTCCCTCTCTTCCCTTCTCTCTAAAAATAAATAAATAAAAATCTTTAAGAAAGATAAACTGCGGAATACATACCTTTTATTATACTCAAAAGTTATTTTAGATGTTACCTGTTATTGAATCATGTAGGAAGAAAGGATTCCCTTTGCAATTCTCCTTCAAACCTCTGATTAAGTCAATAAGGTACTAGTAAATTTAAAATTTTTAAACATTTATTAATATATAAATTAAAATTTTGATTTATTTGATATTTTATAAACCATAAAAGCCATCTGTTTTAAGTGTATAGGTCAATAAGTTTTACCATATTTATGGAGTTGTACAGTCATCATCACATCTAATTTTAGAACATTTCCATCATCCTACAAAGAAACATCATGCCCATTTGCAGTTACTCCCAATTTCCTATAATTTTCTCTTTTGCTTCAGTTAATCTCATGCCGTTTTGTACAGTAACATGCTATATAGCCTTGTACCTAGGAGCAGTAGGCTATACCAGTAGCCCCGCTCTGTAGTAGGCTGTACCCTCAGGTCTGTGTAAGTGCACTCTGTGATGTTGCCACAGTGATGAAATCACCTAATGACATATTTCTCAGAGTGTACCCCTGTTGTTAAGCAGTACATGACTGTAGTTGTCTGCAGAAGGCCCTCAACCTTAGACCTGCTTTTTCTGTGTCTCTGTCTCTCTCTTTTAAAGGGAAAATAGCAAGTAAAAAAATTTGTTAAAAACTTATTAGTCTCAAGCTTACGTGGAACATTCTCTAGGATAAACCAAATACTAAGCCACATAATAAACCTCAATAAATTTAAAATTGTACAAAATAGGTTTTCACATTACAATGGAATTATATTAGAAACCATCAGCAAACATGTGAGGATGGGGAAAAATGATCACTCACAAGTTGCTGGTGTGAATGTAAAATGGTGGAGCCACGTTGGAAAACAGTGCAGCAATTTAAAAAAAAACTATGTATACAATTACCATATGGCCCAGCAATTGCACTGTTGGACCTTTATCCCACAGAAATGAAAACAGGTTTACACAAAACCTGCACATGAATATTTATAGAAGCCTTATTTGTAATTGCCCCAAACTAGAATCATCTCAGATGTCCTTCAAAAGGTGAATGGCTAAACAAACTGGTGTATCCATGTGATGGAATATTACTCAGCAAAAAAGAGAAACAAAACTTATAATGCATGCAACCTGGTTGAACCTCCAGGGGAATTATGCTGAGTGCATAAAGCCAACCCCACAGGTTTCATAATGTATGATTCCATTTATATACCACTTTGAAATGAAAACACTTTAGAAATAGAGGACAAACTATTGGTTGCCAGAGGCTATAGCTAGGGCAGTGTGGGCTGGGGGGAGGGAGGAAAGTGAGCATGGATGTAAAAGGGCAACACAAGCGATCCTTGCCATGTTGGAACTGTTTAGCATCCTCTCTGTGGTGGTGGGCATGTGAACCTACACAGGTGATAAGAGGGTGTAGAACTTCAAACATATATGTGCACACACAAAAACACAGAGTACCAGTAAAACTGGGAAAATCTAAGTAATATAGAGTAAACCAAGGTAATACCCTGTTTGTGACATTAAATTGTAGACTTTTAAAATATGTATTTTATTGATTATACTATTACAGTTGTTTCAGTATTTTCCCCTTTCCCCCTCTCTATCCAGTACATCCATTCCCTTCAGCAACCCCCCACCATGAGTTCATGTCCATGGACCATGCATATAAGTTCTTTGGCTACTCCAATACCTATAGTGTCCTTAACAACCCTCTGTCTATTTTGTACCTACCAATTTGTGCTTCTTAATCCCTGCACCTTTCTCCCCATTCTCCTTCTCCCTCCCAATTTATAACCCTCCAAAAGATCTCCATAACTATGATTCTGTTCCTGTTCTGCTTGTTTTCTTACTTTGCTATTTGGAGTAAGTTATTAATAGTTATGACTTTATTGCCACTTTAATGTTCATAATTTTGATCCTTTTCTTATATAATTCTCTTTAGCATTTCATACACTAATGGCTTGGTGATGATGAACTTCTTTAGTTTTACCTTGCCTGGGAAGCACTTTATCTGCCCTTCTATTTTAAATGATAGCTTTGCTGGGTAGAATAGTCTAGGTTGTAGGTCCTTGCTTTTGATCACTTTAAATACCTCTTGCCAGTCCCTTCTTGCCTGCAAAGTTTCTTTTGAGTATTCAGCTGACAGTCTTATGGGAACTCCTTTGTGGGTAAATATCTGCTTTTCTCTTGCGGCTTTTAAGATTCCCTATTTATCTTTAACCTTTGACATTTTAATTATGATGTGTTTTGGTATGGTCCTGTTTGGGTCCATCTTGTGTGGGACACTCTGTGCTTCCTGGACTTGTATGTCTATTTCCTTCACCAAATCATGGAAGTTTTCTTGCATTATTTTATCAAATAAGTTTTCAGTTTCTTGCTCTTACTGTTCTCCTTCTGGCACCCGTATGATTTGGATGTTGGTACATTTGGAGATGTCCTAGAGTCTCTTTAGCCTATCCTCATTTTTAAAAATTTTTTTCTTCTTGCTGTTCTGATTAAATGCTTTTTCCTTACTTGTATTGAAATTCTCAGCTTCATCCCCTCCACTGTTGGTTCCTCGTAGATTTTTCTTTATGTCAGTTAATGCAAGCTTTATTTTTGCCTGGGTCTTCTTTATGCTGTTAAAGTACCCAATGAGTTCCTGGAACATCCTGATAACCATTGTTTTGAACATGTGCATCTGATAAGTTGCTTATCTCCATTTTGTTTAGTTCTTTTTCTGGAGTTCTGCTCTTTCATTTGGGCCATTTTTTTTTTTTGTCTTCTCAATTCGGTAGCCTCCCTGTGTTTGTTTCTGTGTATTAGGTAGAGTTGCTTTGACTCCCTTTCTTAGTAGTGTGACCTATTATAGAAAAGTGCACCTGTTAAGTTATATGGGCA